CAAATCATAGCTACAATACAATAAAAGTTTATTTCCAAACTTTTGACTTGTGAAACAGAGTAGACTACTATTTTCTGGACAGATTTAGTAAAATGATAGAAGATCTTTATTTTTATATTTAAACGTCAAAATAAATTTATAAACAATATGTTGTTATTTTCTGTTCTTTTTTCTTTGAAGGTTTATAATGATTTTTATGAAAATCTATAAGGTGTCGCTAATGCAAAATTCGAATGACTTTTTTTCTCTTTTATTTATATACTGTTTGGTAGAGGTTGACGAGTCGGTCACGAATACATAGTGTTTATTTCTATTCAATCACTGTTTAGTTGAAAGAAAAGCATAAAAAAACTCGAATCACTGAAAATGTAGCATTGATAGTTATGAGAACTTGGTTGCAGTTTTATAGAAATCATCACATTTCAATTATATTATCTTTTGAAACTTTAAGAAAACATTTTATTCTGATTCAGGATCAAAAAACGAATAGAAATGTGTCATTTGATTAGATTTAGAGGCAGCAAGTTCAAAAAAATCCTGCCCAATAATAGATAGTTCGAACATCTCTCACATCACGTATTTATGAGTATTATCGTAAATCTATATAGTTTTTCTTGTAACAAGTTATAGAAGCGAGTGTCTTATTTAATTAGAATCGCCAGATTGCGAACTACAAAATTTCCTATTTAATTTCTTCTCATTTGATGGTAATATTAGGCAAAAGGATGAAAAATGCATTTTGTATTTAGCGATTTTTATTACTACGATCTAATTTAGAAGTCGAATAGATAGCATATTTGAAACTACATCAAATCATATGTGTTTTATTAAAAACAGTTTCCGATGGAAAATACATCTGTGATTTCTCTCAGATCTATTTTTCTGAAGCTTCGCCCCTTCTGTTCATTATTTCATTAAAGTAGACAGAATTGATTAAAACGTACGACCAATCGATTATCTTTTCATTAACAGATATTATACATATTAGAATGATTGTATTTGATTAACTTGCACACTTAGAACAAATGATTTTTTTGTTGACTAGTACTGCTCGATCGTATACTGATACATGCCTAGTTTACTATTTGAGAAATCAAATGGATAGTTTTCCCAATATCAAAAATACTTTTTTTTTTCTTGTTAAAACTTATTCTATGTGTTTGCTATCGATTATTTTTCAACATATCATAAAGCATGATAATCAAACATTGCGGTAATAATTTTGATTCATTTTGTTTTTAAAGCATTCTCATGCATTATTCGGCAATGATTAATTCTGATATTCATCATTGATTTCATTCTCAATGCAATATAATGCATTATTATTTGATGATACTATGTTGGCTGATATTGACTTTTATTTTCATGCATTATAATGAAATGACATCTTCTCTTATGCTATATTGATTTCTATTTCAATGGATTATTATTAAAAATGATATGATGATATCAGCTATTGGTTATATCTGAATGAATTATAATGATATTTTGTTGTCATGAGATGATATTTGAATATCCTGTACATAATTCATTTGGTTTACTTGAACAAAGTCGAGATTAGTTAAAGAACGGGTTTCTAAGTTTTTATGACTATGTGTTATATCTGTGAAAGTTATGTCAACAATATTTTCCTAAAGTACGAAAGCGAAATAAATAACACATTTTGTTCTTATATATATAAAAGATAACATTTTAAGAAACGTAGGATATCTTGGAGCTGGATTCAAGTATTTCGTAACTGGATTCGTCTATAGGCTATACCAAACGCTAAAAAGGCTATATTAAGATAGATCTCACCGAGTTCTATCAATTCCACTACTTATTTTTTTCCCAGGACTCTTTCTTCATCGAGAAAAACCCGAAATACTGACCAAAAATTAGCAAAAAACAATAGTTTTCCGTATAACACACCGTGATTCGCTTATAGGTTAGGCCAAACAACAAAATTTTACCCACAGACAGAACTCGTCGAGATCTATCGAATGGACACTTTTTTAGCTCGATTCCATGCAAGGACGTCTTCCTAATCGGCAAAATCCTTCTCCAAATCCAGTTTTTTACAGCATTCCACACCTGGATTCGACTGTAGGTTATACCAAAACACGAAAATGGTATATCAAGATAGAACTCGTGAAGCTCTATCGAATGGACATCTTTTTAGCTCGATTCGATGCTGGAATTCCTTTCTGATCAGCAAAATCCTTCTCCCAATCGAGGTTATTACTATATTTCGCACCTGGATTCGCTCATAGGTTAGACCAAACAACAAAATTTTACCTACGGATAGAACTTGTCAAGCTCTATCGAATGGACATCTTTTTAGCTCGATTCCATGCTAGGATCCCTTTCTACTCGGCAAAATCCTTCTCCCAATCAAGGTTTTTATTGTATTTCGCACCTGGATTCGCCTGTAGGTTATACAAGAACAAAAAAATGGTATACCAAGATAGAACTCGTCGAGCCCTATGGAATGGACACCTTTTCAGCTCGATTCCATGCTTGGATTCCCTCCGAAAGAGCAAATCCAAATCACTATCCGACAATCCTACAAATAGTATTGGTTTTTCATTAGGTCTTTATAACGAGCATCCAAAATAAAACATTAAAATTTTTTTTTCCTTCAAACAAAAGTGCTAAATATTTTTTAATTCACCTTTACTTATGCTTTCGATCAGGGATGGGCGAGTCCGAGTCAAAACTCGGACTCGAGTCGACTCGAGTCACATTTTTTTACTGACTCGGGCTCGACTCGGACTCGGAAATCGAATGATGTTGACTCGACTGTGTGACTCGAGTCATTCACTTGAAAAAATTTTCATGCGCTTTTATAAAAAAATCACAATATATAGAACTGAATTTTTTCTGATTCCCAATTTTCATTCTAATGGAATATACGGCATTAGAACGTTTTCTTCAAAAGCTTTATTTCACTTATTTATTTATATGATCGTAAATCTTAGTCTACATGTATTACAGGATGCATATATATATATATTGTCCCCTTCTGTTTTGTTTTGGATTATCTGTGAAGCGAAAAAAAACATTTATATATGAGTAAGCATTTTTTTTTTAACCACCAAAAACCTGAGCTTTAATCACTAAAATTGTCTAACTACGGCATCCCATGAAAAAAAAATTCCAAAAAAACCGCGAAAAAACGCACTCTCAAAAACCGCGGTTTTAGTCGGTTTTTTTCGATCGCAGGAGTCAGACCATCAATGCACCTTTGAAGAACCGGAAAAAACCGCGGTTTTTGAAGGCGCGTTTTTTCGCGGTTTCCAAAAGACCCACACCCACACCCACACCATTGATTGGATGTCGAGATTAATCTAAAATAAAGAAAAAAGAATATCTATTTAAATAATACTTATTGTTCAATTCGAATTTCAGATCGATCATAAACATTCCTAGGACAAAAAATCTATTTATATAAACACTTACTGCTGATTGGGTGTTGGAATTAATCTAGAATAAAGGAAAAAAAATGATTTAAAAAATGCTTACTGTTTGATGGAAATTTCACATAAATCCAAAACAATCCTCGAACAGAAAAATTATTCTAATAAACACTTCCTGTTTATTGGATCTTGAGATTAATCTAAAATAGAGAGAAAGATTGTTTATTTAAGAAAACGATCACTATTCATTCGCACCTGAGATTGATCTAAAATGAAGAAAAAGAATTGTATAACGTGAAGGGGTGTCTCTCCGAACATATTCTCAAATTTTGCTCGACTGCTGAGGATACATTCAGTGGTATGCGTGTAGTAAAAAGTGGATTAGTAAAGATTTGACTGAGTTATTAATTAATCCAGTGGAAAATTAATTGAATATTTTAGATCAAAAGGAATTTTAAAAACGCCTAGTGTTCAATATGAATGTTGGTTTTTATGTGATTCTAGTTTGATTTTATAAACTGTTTGGACATATAAATTGAAGAAAAAAAATCTCAGAATTCTTTTTTATAGTTTAACTATTCATTGGTCACGACGAATGCTAATTAGTAAAATGCTACCGTAAAGAATAAATTTCTTAGTGTCATGGTGAATAGAAAAAAGCAGTCGTTGAATATGTAATTCAATTGAGCTTTTCAAGCTTTATCGATTGCATTATAAAGTTGCTTTTTTATTATGATTGTTTTTCTCGAGAGAAAAATCTATTCTAAAACATTAATAGTGTAGTATTAGTGACGACTTTATCACTCATAGATAAAAAGAATCGTTGATTACTTCTAAGACGCGTGTACCAAAACTTTCTTTCATAACGAGAGAGTTATTACAATATCGTTGCATATCCTTGGCGCTATTTATTCAATAATGGACATATATCGAAAAATAATAAATATTCATTCGTTCTTAATAATACGTTGATAACAATGAGAAGCTTTTGAAACTGCTCACAGCTGCAATTATTAATACCGCGGTTATTATTGAACAGGCCGAGGTTTCTGAAACCGGTGATAGCTGCTATATTGAATACCGCGGTTATTATGGAACACATCGCGGTTTATGAAACCGATGACAACTGATATATTTAATACCGCGATTATCATATACTACACCGCGGTATATGAAACCGGCAACAATCGCTGTATTTAATACCGCGGTTATCATGTACTTTACCGCGGTATACGAAACCGGTAACAACCGCTATATTTAAAACCACAGTTATCATGTACTACACCGCGGTATATGAAACCGGTAACAACCGCTATATGTAAAACCGCGGTTATCATATACTACATCGCGGTATACGAAACCGGCGACAACCGCTGTATTTAATACCGCGGTATATGAAACCGGCAACAACCGCTGTATTTGATACCGCGGTTATCATGCACTACACCGCGGTATACGAGACCAGTAACAACCATTATATTTAAAACCGCGGTTCTCATGTACTATACCGGGGTATATGAAACCGGTAACAGCCGTTATATTTAAAACCGCGGTTATCATGTACTACACCGCGGTATACGAAACCGGTAACAACCGCTATATTTAAAACCGCGGTGAATCGCGGTTATTCAAAGGATACCGCGATTCACCGCGGTTTTCTCCAAAAAATTTTTTCGTGGGTGGACGACCATATCGTCGTTCGTGATCAGCTGGTACTGATCGAATACCTTCATCACGTAGCTTTGGATGACCAAAACCGTCCTCTTCACCATCTTCTATTAATTCATCATCTTCTTGATTATCTGCTACACCATTATCCTCTTGTTTTCTAGTACGTGCTTTAAAATATTCATATTCTTCAAAATATTTCTCATACTATAAAACAGTTTTAAATATTTGATTAATTGAAAAAAAAATCATATTTACTGATAAGATGATTACATCATCCGGCTGGTACGGAATAGATCTGATGAAACCGGTTTCTTGATAGTTAACTTCGTATATCATCTAAAATTATTAAAACTAATGTAACAAATCTTTTATCTTTAAAAAAATGACAAGAGATTTTAATAAATAAATATCATCGTTATGTTCTACAATAAACGTTGGTTTACTAGTTTATTCTGATAAAACTCTTCCTTGTATATGATTTATACATTCTTGTCTTAAAATATTCTCTGATTGACGATTAATCGCAATATTTTGTTCAAAAACTAATTAACCATTATTTGGATCAAATAAAAGTAAACGACAATTTTCAGTTGTTTGATTATCTATTGCTTTTGAATCAATAGTTATTATATACCGATCACGAAATGAAGCAATACTTATGAAAAAAAAATTTTATTAAGAATAAAACAAAAATGTTTTTTTTTTTGTTTAAAAAAACAAATCATATAATTGTTTAATAGATCGATGGCCAATTGTTTGTATATAGCGACCATCTGATTCAGTTATATAAATAGCATCTCTTTCAACAATTAAGATATTATTACGTGCATTAGTCGTAACAATACCTGAATGATGAAATTTCATTTTGTAAAAAAGAAATCAAAATTGAAATAGAAGTTTTTTCATTAAAAATTCGGTTCTTTTTAACACCTGATTATTTGAAATCGTATATTTAATCATTCTGTTTGAATATCAAATAATCGAACATGTTGAACATTTCGATGTACATCGCATGAAAAACCAACACCAATTGATAAATAACTTGCTTGTGAACCATTTTATGGTGTACCATATGTTACACAAAGTTCAACATTTAGAATAGATCGATCTAGAATGAATAATCTCTGTTCATTTCTAGTGAAAAAAATATTAAGAATATACTTTGTTTATTTCGAAATTCTTGAATATATTCATCAGTTATATAAGGATGAGTTAATCCTTTTGCTTGATCAAAAACGTGTTTGTTCAGGAACAACAGAAAGATAATCTTTAGGTAGACGCCATCTCAATTTAATATAATTTATTTATTGAATAATTCTTTGATTTATTCATTACTAGCGACAATCGAGATCAGAAAAAACGAAGTTTTAGATAACATTGTCGACTTGTATTATCATTGCAATCTTCATCTGTATTATCATTATTAAATTAATTAAAAATAGAAAGTTTTATACTTAATTGAAAATTTTTATTTACGTTGAAGGTGTTATTTGTGTTGCTGACGTATTTCAAAAATGAATAGAACTATCATTTCAAGGTGTAGGAGTAGATGTATCTCTTTGTTGATTTTTGATAATTTCATTTTTATTGCTTACATTGGATTTTGATTGAAACTATGAATGATCATTTTTTATAACTTTTTTTGGTAATAATGATGAATAATGTTCATTGATGATATCAATTTTTGATGAATTATATAGTATGCTGTATATCACTCTTATGAATGTGAAATATATTAACATTTACGGTAAATTACTTAAATTTGTACTGTTAAGTTTAACGACGATTGGTATGTCTTTAAAAAAAACCATTTCCAATCTAACGAAGTCTGTAAAAACAGGTATCTTAAGACTTTAATCAAACCTAAATTTGAATAAAGAATTTAGTTTTTCTGAGACAGCCTAACTTTAACATAGAGAAAACTTGGATTCATTTCAAAACTATAATTCTTCGAAAATGTACAATTGCATCATCTATAGTATTTTGCTCTGATTTTTAACCAGATGTGCTGATTACTGGATGGTTAGCAGTAATTAGATGCCGAAAATTCGTAGTAAACAGTACTTTGTTGTTCTTGTATGTTCATAGATAGTTTTATAATTAAATTATGACTCATTTCAGCTACTATTTCATTCATTTATTATCCTCTCTGTTTAGATCAAATATTTCTGGAAGATCATGTCACCAAAGAAAATCAAAAAACGAGAAATACCCAAATCGAACACAAGTATTATTGTTTCGCAATAAAAAATTGTAACCAACTTATTTTGCTTTTCAATTTAGTGGTGCAAATGATTTATCTATGAAGAAAGGTAAATTAGAACGAAAAACAAATAATCATATCAAACCTAAAGAATATGATTCTGCTTCCGATTGCCATAGTGACACAATATTTGTCGATAAATTCATATAGAAATATGGATGTGTTAACAAAAATGACGAAGAAATCAATCGATTATTTCAAATGTCAACTTCATCATCACCGATTACAACAGCAACAAATATTTGCAATGATCGATCATCTATTTTGGAAGCGATTTCAACTGATCAATTATCAATTACAACAAGAATAAGATCTATTTCAACTTCATCATTAAATATAGCAAGGGTGTGGTGTGTGGGTGTCGATGTTGGGTGTTGGTATGGGTGTGAGGCGCGGGTGTGGGTGTCTTTTAAGAAAAGATCCATGCTAACACCCCATATTCCTACAGCCGCACTCACATTCAAATCCTCACCCACACCGACACCCCAAAACAAAAAAAGAAAAAATAATTCATTCACCTTCTTCCTTAATTCATCTGCATCTTTTTTCCACAAAAATTCATTCTAACTTTTGATTTCTTCAAAAAACATATATGTATTTCTCTCAATCCAAATATATATGAAACAATTTCCAATATTTCCCATATTTCAATAGAACAAAACAAACAATTCACTTTGGACAACAATCGATTCAAATTTATAAAAATACTAGTTAGCAACAGAAAAGGAGAAGAGAGCAAAAAAAGGTAATAATAAAAAATAATAGAAAAGTCAACAATCCGCTAAAAAATTACTGATACCAACTAACAAATTACTAACATAAAAAAACAAAAATGAAAAATTTATCTTTTCTGTTCCTGTTGATTTGTATTATTTTCTACATCCGTAAAACATTCTCCTTATAGATTTATGTTACTGTCCCTTCTATAAAATAACTTTTTCTCTTTATTAATTTGTATTTATTCGTCTATGAGACTACTTTTTCCTTAACAAGTTGTACAAAAAAAAATTTTTCTTTTCCTCTATTAATTTGTATTTTTTTCAACTTCCATAAAATATTGTTCCTTACGATGATTGTTCTTCTTTTCCTCCCATGAACGTGTGTGACTTTTCTACTTCTAAAAAATAATTTTCTCCTGAAAAATATGTACATAGGGTGATCAAAAAATTCTCGGAATTCGCTGTAGTTTGTTCAAGGAAACGATATTTCGTCCATTTTGCTACACCATATATTATTGGTAGTGATCGTGATGTACTATGCAAAGTTTTATCCTTTTAACTCACTCTTAAGGTATCGTTTCGAAGTAAACAATAGATATCAAATTGGTCTCCTCGATTATTACCCCCGTTCAGTTGTAACAGGTGCTGATTATCTAGGCTATCTTGAATCCATCACCAACACCAAGAGTCTGAAAGTTCAGTCCATGGTGAGTACTCTTGACAAGAGTTAACTTGATTCTGGTTCCTTAAAAGTAGATAATGACGGTGCCATACATGTTGCTCAAAAAATCACGAAGGAAATTGTTGGGATCATAGACCATGACCATCCTTCGTTGTTGGCTGAATCAACTAATTATACATTTAAGTGTTTATCACTAGTATAGGCAGTATGACTAATTGCTATAGAAACGACTGCATGATAAGAAATGGCTCGTATATGATTAAGAGTTGAGATATCTTATTGCTTCTGATAGCATTAAAGATTAATGCCATTTGAAGGATGAATTTCATCTTCGCGAACCCAAGTTTCGATCATAATTTTGATCGAATTTTGGGATAGCAAATCTGAATCTGTTAGCCATTAATGGTATCATATAAAATTCAGTTATGATCTAGAAATCATTTTGATCTTTTAAAGTTCGAAACAGCTAGTGGATTCCAGCAATAACCGAGGAGATCAAATCGATACCTTCAGAGTGAGTTAAAAGGATGAGACTTCTCATGGAATATTACAATCACTATCTCTAATATATGGTGTAACGAAATGGATGAAATGTCGTTTCCTGAACAAAATACAGCGCACTCCGAGAACGTTTTGATCATCCTATGTGTTTTTATTATCAATATATAATGATAAAGTTTCCTTGAACTTCCTATAGGATATTGAAATGCCTTCGTCACTACTTTTTGTATCTCATAAATAAATTTAGAATTTTTCGATAGTTAAATTAACCCGTAGAACATATGGCTTCGAAACTATGAATTAATCAAGTGCATAACTGAAGCAGAATCTTTTTTCAAATATGACAACTAGTGACAATCAAACAATTTGCTACAAAAACAGACCAATAAAACCTTTTCACCTTTGACAAACGAATGATGATGACGATAGATTTGTTTCTAACATTGTTCCATTATTAATCGTAAATTTTTTCTTTAAAAAATATTTAATATGGAAATTATCTACGCGGTAGATGCTAAGATGACAAATGATGGTGAAGAATTTGAACGTATATTAGCAATGGATATATCTTGTATGAATATTCTTGCTTGTTCAACTTATTATTTATTGGCATCAAGTAAACTTAAATATAGTTCACATCTTGTTTCAACGTATAGTCTCTTTTAAATTAATCTTTTTTTTAAAATTAATTATTGTTATCTTTTTTTTTTGCATTGTAAAGACCTTTACAACAAGCAGCAAAATCTTCATTTTGTGTTTATGTTTGTGCACTTGAACAACCATGGCATTTTGGTTTAATAGCAACATCAATTGTACCTATTGTTCATATTGTTTGGAGTCTTGATGGAACACATTTACTTGTTTGTAATCAAACAGGACTCTGTCGAATATTTAAAATGAAAGTAAATTAATATTTTATAATTGTTTTCTTCTTTTTTTCTTTTTTCTAATTACATTCTTATTTTTAGAATGGTTGTATTAATACAATGGATAATCTATATCAATATGAAATAAATGAAGATATTCTCATCGCAAAATATATTTTTCATAAAGAACCAGTTAGAATTCTTAACAAATAATCAACATTCAATATTATTATTTTGTAATTTTTCATTTTTTTTCTTAGATAGTCGTTAATCTTGATAGAAAAGATTCATTATTTTATGGAAAAGAAGATGGTCAATCACCGATGTTACCATATGCACTTAATACAGGCAATTTTGTATGTGTAACAACATCAGGAACGGTAAGTTTCAATTCATTTATATATCAAAAAAACTTATGAATTTACATTATAATAGTTCATACAAAACTAAATTATTTTAAAAAAAAACTTGTCAGTGCAACTCCTTTTGGGCTAAAATCTAGAATTTACATGTATTCTATAGCAGATTATTTATTTATATCACATATCCGATTCTATGTATGAATTAGATTGAGTTAATTCTAATAATTGATGTTTTGATGATTAAAAAAAAAAAAGAACCTTATTATACTCTATTTTTAGGTTCATACATTACCACTTAATCGATTATTACCACCATATCGTTATTTTCTTTCTCCAAATGATCCACTTAGTGTATCTCTATGTGATATATCATCAACAGATAAAGGTTTTAATGTTATTCTTGGTGAACGTATACAAGGTGCACTTATACATTTTTTTGTTGTTCATTATGAAACATTAGAACCTAAATTATCTTATATATCATGTCGACGTCGTGGTTTTCGTATACCATCATGTTATGGTACACTTGAATCATTAATTTATTTTCAACGTAATGGAAATGATTGTATTCTAACACATATGACAACATTTCATGGTGATTTAATTGATTTTTATGAATATAATCTTGAACAAGAAGAATGGATATCAATAACACTACTTAATTCACCACAATTTCATATTACATCAATAGCATTATCACCAAGTCAATTATTAATTAAAGATAATGATTTTCAAGGACATTTTGGTCGACAAATACTCATTGCATTAAGTGATGGATCAATACTTACATATGATAAATTAAATTTAAAATGTAAAGAACAATGTTTTCCAATGAATAATGTTGATTTATTTACACAATCTAATATTAATAAATCAGAATATTTTGTTCGAATACAACATACATATTCAGGTATATGAAGATATTGAATTTTCATTCTTTATTTTAAATATTTCTATATTATATAGTATATATATATATTACTCTGAAGAAAGTATATAATCTTAAGAGTATGCTCTCCCACGCGTGTGCCTTTGTGATTTCATTAGAAAATGTTATGTTGTTTCCGAATATGATTTCTGAATTTTTCTGTGTCTGACTTTGTTTGAGAGTACGGAGAGAACCTTTCAGTAACTACATTCTATGTAAAACATCCTTTCGTTAAAAAATGAGAATAATAGAAAAACAACAGTTAAGATGTTTCATTGAAAGACAACATGAAACTCAAATATTGCATTTTGTTTTTCGGTCGATTTTCCTCTACAAGTTAATATATAAAAATAAGTTTCAAATCGCCGATAGTGAAAATAATTTCGCACCATCTGTTAGATGGGTCTTGATGAGTATAGCAAAAGTCGTCATAGGCTTAAAATTCCTTAAATGCTTTCTTCAGCTGCAATATATCTGATAGAGTTGAAAATGTTCTTACATATCTTAGACAATGTTTGAGATGCCTACTTCTTTTTGATTCCTTACATTCACATAAAAATACTAAAATTCTTAAAAAATACGCGTTTTTTTTTGTTCTAAATCGTATTTTGAAACAAAAAGAAAGTAGACATTCTAAACACTTGCCACTATCAGCTCGATCGAAGATATTGTACTCGAGAAATGAAGGACTTATACTTGAAATATGCTCAGTAGATAGAGGATATTTCAAAGTGTATATATAGCAAAACAGAAAAACAAAGGAAGAAAAGAAAAATATAAAAAATCGTTCATATTCTATTCATAGGATCATGCTGTCTTGGTTTTACTCAAAGTGGTATTATTATTCTTCTTCGTACAATTAATCTTGATCATGCATCAACACCATCTATGATTAATGTACTTGTTCATTTATTTGAACAATATATTGTTCAAATTCCTAATCCAATTGATATTTGGGATATATTATGTCTTATATCAAATCCAAATTATGATAATTCAATAATAAATGAACTTGTTGATCAATTAGTAATACGTTATGATGAACAAACAATTGAATATAAACGTAATTATTTTATTCGTTTTAAACAATGTCTTTATCATTTACATCGTTTATCATGTCCATTTTCAATTGATAATTGTGAACATTTAACTAGTTTACTTGTTTATCATATATTACTTATTGTTCGTGATTATCTTCGTTTATTTATATATGAACCAACAAATAGAAATTTTGTTGAATCAGCACAAGATATACTTCAACAAACATTATTTATACAAAATATTGATATAAAACGTATTAAATATTTAGGTGATCAACCTATGACAATTGATTCAATAACAATTGATCCAAGACATTATCAATTAATCTCATTTACATCATTAATTAATTGGATATCAGATATTATTTTTTATCTTATTGGTTATTTACAATTACAACAAATACCACAATGGTTAACATTTAAACATTTTTTTAATGATTCAAGACAAATACAATGGCTAAGAGAATTTATTATTTATTTTTATATACTTAATAAAATGAATAAAATTCCATATAGTAAAATAGCACATATACAACCGATATCACAAACTGTACAAACATCACAAGATTCACAACAACAACAACAACAACAAACAACAAATCAATCTACACAAAAAGATGTTTTAAAAGATATTTATAATAGTTTATCTAAACTTATTCAAAAACTTGAAGGTAAATTTTTTATATTTTAATCAATAATATTATTAGAAAGTTATTTACGAATGTAACTTTTATCGAAAGAACGAAGGTTGATGACTATTGAAATTGTCTTCCCTACCTCCTCCGAAAAATTTGTTTTCTTCTATCAAGGTGTCCAAAAGTAAGTCCTGATAGAAACAGTCAAGGGCCGATACATGTACTTTGAACTTGACTGTTGATGACAATTAACTCATCTCATGAGCGATCAGGCTATTTTCATATAGTAAAGTAATGGAAAAAAGTTTAGAAACAACGATTTTTTTCATAATGTTAAGTATGTAGTTCCAATCCAAATAGTGATTTTAATAGCCAATGGAGTTTTCTATCCAATACACTTTATAGCAAGGTTTCACAGATGAACAATGATGGCAAAGCTCCTAAAAAATCGAACACAGTATTTTTTAGGTTCTAGAAGACTTTGTCAGAGCTATTTTTGAACGGTACCATCTTAAATAACTCTGAGGTGAATTTTTCGAGGAAAAAAAAAGTTTGTGAAAATATTTCAAATACAAGTAAGTTCAATCAGTTTGAAATATTGATTCAAAATATCATATTAGTTTTCATTCAAATAGAAATCTACTAAATATTAGTAAAAAAAAAAGGCTCACTGCAATTATTTTTCAAATTTAATACTAATAGAAATATGTATTTGAACTGGATTTGTTTTTGTATTTTTAGTTCAAAAAATAGGTAATTTTGATGAATCTCTTCTTGAAGAGTTCTCAGTATTAGATATTGAAATATTACAATCAAAAGCAGATGATTTGTTTCCAAAACCATATCCATTTTTAATACAAAATTCACGTTTACCACAAACATTTATTCGTGGTCAACCACCATCATTTGCTACACATCCCTATGGAAATCCAGTAACAATTGATACATTAGGTGGTAGTCAGTTATCATCAACATTATCATCTTATACTAGTACAATTTTAAATGATGATAATTTACAAGATGTTAAATTAGATATAATTACTTTAAATAAAATGTCATTATCAACATGTTCAATATTTCGTCGATGTTTACGTTGTTCAAATTTTTCAAGAGTTTTTAAAACTAAACCATATCCATTTCTAGCTTATCGTCTAAATAATCGATGTTTATGTGGTGGATTATTTCTTTTTTATACTCGACCATCATCAATAATCAATAATAATAGCAGTAATAATACTAATGAAACATCAACTACGGCTACAGCCAGATAAAAGTTCTCATAGGATGAGTTCATATAATGATGATCTTTATTCTTTCTTTTTTTTTTTGTCTGTATTATAAGTTGAAAATAAATGATATGTACAAGCTTAATGTAACATTTATATCAAGTAATATTTGCTGATATTCACTACGAAATCTCTACTGATCTTCAAGTTGATTGTGCAAGATGAAGAATTAAATTCTCTATCGAATCACAGATGAAAAAGGAAGTTTTTGACTTTGTTTTGATAGTAAACTTCGAACGATTTATGTTGATCGTCTAGATAATTGTGTGTTAGATGCAGAATTTCATTCTGCATGAAATGGCATCAGTTTCAATAGAAACAATTCTTAGCAGGATGTCCTCACTTAATGCCGGAGTCCGAACACAATCGTCCCTCTCGTTTTGAGTTAGCAGCGATGAGTAGTATCCTCTCTAAGTGCTCCATATTATTCAGAATACACAGTGTTAATAAAGTAGCTGCACTCTTCACTACCATTCCTAGAACAAGAGAGGAGCTAAGACTCTACTTTCGCCGTTAGCTATTCTACTAGGCATTTGTCTCGTGGATAAAATAGCACACGTAGCGACGGTGCCACCTGCTACTGTCCAATTAAAACAAGAGGAGCTTTAATGTTCTGACTTCATTGCTATCCTCATTGATGGTTTGAACTGCAATTTTGTGTATCTGGAGCTCTATTGCTCATTTGCATTTGTAAAGATTAAGTGAAGAAAATCGTTAAAAAATTTTGAAATCCTTAGAGCTGATGGTGTTAATGTGGATGAGACTTGTCTTCACTCACACACACACCTAAACTTGATTTCATAGTAAAATTACTTTCCTTTATACGTAATCAAAATCATAGAAAACAGAGCGCTTGAATAATTACCAAAATGTCTACATGTAGAAGCGATTTCGGTGTTCAGTTTGAGATGTCCGAATTTTCTAAATTAAAATCTTCTATCATTGAACACTATTAGAATGACCGATTATTCAATTCATTTAAAAATGCTTATTTAATAATATTTTGATTTCGACTACTCGAATCTGCAAATGAATATTTGATGCAAATTAAAATAACAGACATATGCATCATGATGAAAACGTTCTAATTTTCAGCCTTATCAATAAGGACTATTATTTGTCTTATGTGCTGCAGAAATTAAAAATGATTAGCATAAAAACTTGAAATGTTTAGCTCAGTTTTGTCTAGCATTGATTCGAAATACGCTACAGAATTCAGTAGTTCTACTGGCTTTCATTTTTCAATATTTGATAATATTCGAGAAAATTTATATTTTCATTTAGTTTGTAATCTATATTGATGCAATGCAGGACTACTTAATATATGATTCTTCTGATTAGATCATAAAACAAGATCGAAACTCATTGTTAATAGAGTAATCAACAACTTTTATCAAACAGAAAAATTTTAATTTGAACGCAATTCGTGCCAAGTTCGTCTTGTTCATGGACCCAGCGCCGCTAAGAATGGAGTACAGACAGCTAGACAAGTCGTACTCTCGCCTGCGGCTCCAGCAGCTGCACCGGTCACAAATGCAATTCCATAACAAGCGGCCAAATATGCCTTATACATAATCGGTCCACTATGAACAGGCTGTATGATTAACATTATTAACAAGATTGTATGTAGAAGCATGTCTATTTTGAATTTTATTTCTTCTGTTTGCTGATGTAATCTGAGAATATTAAAAGAATTAACTATAATAGGTTCACAGACTATACAAGATAAAATCTATCTTGACATAGATGCTATTTGACGATTGAATCACAACTTTAAGTTTTATTTTTTGTTCTTCATTTTCTGCTTTGGCTTGAAAATACTTTGAGTATTGTTTGAAGTAATATGAAATATTGTACCACCGTCTACCTTACCGTTGGTTAGAAAGTGCTCTATTATTTATTTTATACTTCTTCTATACATGAAAATCAAGCTGTATATATATTAGTACACAGGAAACTTCGTAAAAGAGAAACAACTATATGAAATAAACCATTGATCAACACGAAGAAATAAGCGCGACATGCAGAACGCGAGAAGAATATATGAGTCAATTGCAACTTTATTGCACTGTTTGGAAAAAAAGGCATGCATAAGATCTTTATACATAGGGAAATTGAATGATATATATTATTATAATATATGTTGGAAACAACACAGGGAAGAATGTTCCAACTATCTGTGTCACGACTTCGTGATTCATTTCTCCTTCAATAGTACTTTCTCGAATATTCTTAATATATCGGTATGAATAATTTGATACCATGAGACACCTATAGATAACAGAGTATGGCATGAATAAAAAATAAAGGTCGATAGGCAGAAGGAAAAAAATTCATTCTTTTACTTGTTTTTAAAAATTTCGTTGTCATTTACATTGTAAAATAATAATTGCATTTTCTTCTCAAAATGTCGTGTTCGATTTAAAAATTCAATTCCTCTGTGCTTATCTCTGTCTGTTGTTCTCTCCTGTATAATCGCATATTTTGTGTGTAATGTAGTTACATTCTGAAGATATAGAGTAGATCAATAAACATCATTACCGATGGTAACAGTAAGCTATGCCTTCAATTTATTGTTACAACGAGCTGTCAGAATATATACTTACGTTTTATTTCTGTATTCAAGACAGTTGAAAAACAAACCAACAAAAATGCAATTCGATGAAATCCAATGATGAAAGTATTTTCATTCTGCTTCAAATACTTTCAGAATATATAATTACATTTCGAACGATGCAAAAGACTCCGATTGATAGATTGAAAAATATATCGTCTCTTAGAAGAATATGTGTACTTTCGGTATTAGGTATGGTCCGTTCTCTTCACTCTCACTCACTGCCACCTACATCCGGATTCATCATTCTCAAAGCACCATCTGCACTATGAGGAAGCTGCCAGATAACTGTTTGCCAGAATGTTCTTCTATAATCCCTGTTAGCGCAAGCATTCCTAAATTGCACAGTGAGTTTCCAAAAAACCTAGATACTTTTCAGTTTTTCTGGCTCTGCAAAAATATTTAATCAACAAAAATGGTCTATTCAGAATCATCACATTAAACTATCTCGAATGATATATATATAATCCAAAAGAATTTTGAAGAAAAAAATTATGGAAAAGATTTTCCTGATGCATTTTTCGTCGAAAAACTTTTTTTCACATCATATTCTATCATTTCTAAGCAAGAAAGTCACATGTCCATCTGCTATACAAAAAATGCACATTGTAGAAAGAAGTCTTAAGATATGTATTTTTCTTCTATGTAATCATTATTGCGAAAAAAAACAACATTCCCAATACCCAGATAGTCGTATCATTTATTTGAAAACAAAAAAAAGAAAAAAAAACAAAAATTCCTAGTTTATTTAATTTGTGTTCCTGATGTCACTTGTTCAGTATGTGAATTGATACGTATTTTCTTTGTCGTTGGACAACATGTAAGAAATATTTGTCGACATAATCTTATACATATTAATAATATATTCATACTACATAATACCCAATATAAATAATAATTTAAATTATTTTCAATAATATCTTGTTCAAATAATGATAATTGACGTAATGGTAGATCAATAAAAGCAACTGCAATAAATAGATAAGGTGTCCATATTGACCAAAATTCATTTTTATACATAAATTGATCAAGAAGAAAATAAACAAGAAGAAGAAATAATATAATCAATAAACCAATTGTTGTACAAACACTAATAGATATTGGTAATGTAGAATTTAAATCAAGATAAATACCAATATATTCAATAGTAGCACATATTGTTGTATATGCAATTGAAGTTGTATAAAGAAAAAGACTATTTAAAATAAAATAACGTATTATTGCTAAATCAATTGATCTAATAATTTAGAAAGATAAATAGATATATATTAATAAATAGCAAAATTTCCTTACAAACTAGTTGATCTATAGAGATTTTCATATTTAAATAATTTTACTGCAACAATTCGACAAGTTATAATCAGAAGAATTAAACTAAGATATAAACATGCACAAGATATCTAATACGAAAAAAAAAAAATTATTTTTTGTTTTTAATTTTATTTGAAAAATAAATAATAAAATTCTATATATATATATATAATACATACTTCCGATGATAGAGAAAATTGACTAACAATTTGAAAAGAAAGTGCAATAATAAAAAGAAAACAAAGACATGAATTAAATATATCTGGATTTCGATAAAGATATCCAAAATTAGTACGTCTTAGAATAAATGATAATACATAAATTAACCAAAATGTCTAAAAATAAAGATAAAAAACAAATAAATGATGAAAAAAAAAAACATACCTGCCAATTTTCTATCAAACGAAATAAAAGATTTTCAATAATTATATTTGGTCGTAAATCTGATGTGTAAACACGTGTAATAGGTCGTATTATAAGACTCGACCAAAAATCTTGAAAAAAAAAGAAACAAACAAAAACTATGTACATATTTTTTGTTTTGTTTATTTTGAAATCTTTTCATTACGAGAATTTGTTTGCATTGTTACTGGTATGTAAGCTCTCAATGTATGAAGAAGATAAGATAGAGCAGTAAAGATCATAAAAATAATTTGTATAAAATTATGTTTATTTCGAACCATACAACGTATATCATTATCTTTTTCATTCGATTGAAAGTCGCCTGTACTAAGAATAATATGAGCAGGTTTTGATATTAATCCTGTTGAAATATTTGACTATATGAAAAAGAAACTATGATATGGACTTAAACATATCGTTCAATATGAAAATTATATCTACCTTGATATGTCTCGAACGTACATTGTATGTATCAGACATTTGATCAAATTTGAAAGTGAATTGATCTTGACTTTTCAAACGTATCTTGCAATAATGAATTATCTGTAGTAAATGGATCCGACATATTTTTTTTTTAGTGAATAGAATGTAAAAAGAAAAATTACGTTTGTCTTTTGTTTCCATAGAACATAACGGGCAGCTGTTACCAATTTTATGTTGTTTTTTTTTATATTTCTCTACCGAGAAGTTTTTCTTTTCGACCTTCAACAGCATAAAAAAAAGAAACATTATCATTAAATTTTTTCTTTTGAAATCATCTAGAAACGATTAAGTAAGTTTGTTACAAAACGAATATTTCTTCACAAACTTTATCTAGTATATCAAACAAGACCAGTGCATATATGAATACATCGAATAACAATAAATTAATTTTATTGTAAAATAAAAATGTACATTCAAATCAATATTTTATGTCATATTAATCATATGACTAACATAAAAAAATAATTAAGAAAATTATGCATTGATATCATGTATATGACAAATTATTTTTGAAAACTTTGTGTTTATTTTAGATGGTACTCTAATATAAATTTTATATGGGGTATTTGTAAAAGATGCGAACACCTTCAAATCGGGAACTGATACCATCAGTAGGTAGAGCTCGGCGAGCTAATTCGACGAATATCCATATCTTTTGCCAGTGAATAGCCCTACTCGAGTTAGGTATGTGCTCAAAATTTTAGTCTTTTATATGCTTGCCTAAGAAAAATAACAGGGACGTACTTTTTCAATTTTAAAGCTTATAATTGAATTTTGCATATGAGTCATTCCACGTAAGCCACAACCAAATCTGCTCAATCGAGGTGATCAGATCTTGCTCAATTTAAGATGTTGTTGTGGAAGAAAGAGTTTTATGAATTTAGACGCTAACCACTTTGAACTATATTGAACTATCGATTTTTAGTAGATGTTTTATGAAAAGCCGTGAAAACCTATATTACGACCAAATAAGATCTTGATGGAGCCATATCTCAAGAATTGACCGACTGATTGAGCTGAAATTTTTTGTGGACATATATTTCTGTGAGTTCTACTCAGAATAAAACTTTCAACTCAAAACATTGAACCTTTAACTTTTTATAATTCATTCAATATTAGTAAAAATCTAGATTTCAGGTTACTTTGATACAGGGCTGCCATACGTACCCCATTGTGGGGTACAGTACCCCATTTTACCATTTTGCACCCCAAAAAAAGTTGTACCCCCGGGGTACACCGTTTGTACCCCATTTGAGTTTTTGAATTTCTACTGTCATAAATTCGTCTATGAATTGAAATGAATTATAGTTTTTTTATAATACTTGTCATGTCTCTGTAGAAACATTCATAATACGCAATACTGGTGAAGAATCGACCAATGATTATTATAGTACTTTGGCGTCAAATGCAAGGTGAGGGGTTATCTTTTAATCCCTTGTCTTGCAGTGATTTTTGTTGTTTTATAACCAAACTCAAATGTTTGCTAGGGGACACTTGAAACTATATAATAATATAATAATATTAGCAAATCATCAAACTGACCGTATAAAGAGAATAAACAATAGTATATGTGCAAAAAAAGTGTGACATAAGTTTTATCAGGTATTAAAACGTATTTATTCCATGCAGATCATGGCTGAACTATCTGGATAAATAATGTCTTAAGTGGTTAAAAATCACTATAGTCTCTAAGTCCAGAAGTATTATTTGAAAGGTTTCTGTTCATTAAAGGATTATTCAATGTTATATTATGTATCCGTATTACTCTCATCATCTTTGTCTTTATTGTATTCTTTTTCGTCACTATTTCCTATTTATTTGCATCCATTCTATTATTTGTAGATCCTTCTAACAAAGGATAACGACTAATTAAAATATCGTAGTATTAGCGAGCATGTGTAATCATTGTTTTCTCTCCTTCCGTCTGCGATTAGTACCAAAGCAAAAACCGCTATGGCTGGGATTACGGGCACTAGTGTCAGAACTAAGGTTCATTTTTTTCATAAATAAGCCAATTAGAATGATCAAATAAATTTCTGTTGGCAAATAATAGCTACGCTGTATAAGTTTATTATAGAACTGTAAAACTATAATAAACGCTTACCAGAGGAATAAAATCAAATCAGATGAGATAAGAGACATTTATACATCTCCGGACAAAAGTCTTTTCCCAGTTATCTGTTTATGCTGTCATACTTGAATTCAAATTTATTACCGAGTAGAGATATGACATGAGAGTTTTATTACTGTGTGATCTGTACACCATACTGAAATGAAACTCTCATATTATATCTCTATTTGGCAATAAATTTGAATCAAAGTATGACATCATAAAAAGGTAAAGAGGAAAAGACTTTTGTCCGAACGTGTACATTATAGGAATAATTATTTATGTTTATTAACAGCTGTTACTCTTTGAAATAATGCTAATTGTAGCTGGTAGTGGTCTCTCTATAACTACACCCACAATATACAGTAGCTGTTTTATGTTTCTTGCTTATAGAAAAATACGAAAAAGTAAAAAACATCAAAACTGAAAAAAAAAGTTTTCATCTTGAATTTGACGCCAAAGTACTATAGTTGATTTCAATATTTATTATGCTTTAACGAAAAATGTTATATAGTTTATTTTGATAGTACTTAGATTTATTTCTAAAAGTTATGATTAAACTGAGAGTGTTTTATTGTGTTAAAAAAACAACAATGAAATTGATTTCTAAAAAAGAAAAATTGAATATTATGTTGTTTCATAGAAAAGCAGTTTCTTTTAAGGGGACATCCCCCCCCCCCCTTTCCGGGATTTCTCGAGAACGGCTCATCAGAAAAATTTGAAACTTTCACAGCTGATAGATCTCGATGTGGAGAGTAAAAGTTATCATAGACTCAAAATTCCCAAATGCTTCTTTCTAGGAGATATTGGGGTTGCAATGGCTAAAAATCGACCCCCTAATCGCCCCCGTTTCTCAGGCACCGTGAATCCGATTGGGCTGAAATTTTTTCTACAGATAGTAGAGACACTTTAGGGGGCCTACTTTTTTTGGTTTCTTTCTATCACTTACCGTTCGAATAAAAAAGCCAAAATACCAAGAGCACCCTAAAAAACCCATATTTTTTTGAATAGTGCTTATCTTGTAAGGCCTCCCAAAACTCAACGGTACAATATTTTTCAAAACAAAAAAAGGTAGCCCCCCTAAAGTGTTTCTACTATCTGTAGAAAAAATTTCAGCTCGATCGGATTTACTGTTCCTGAGAAACGGGGGCGATTCTGTAGATTTTTGCTGAAAAATCTGGTTTCTAGAAAACCGCGAAGGAAAGAAAAAATCGTGCTATACCCCCTACGGCAATCGATTTATGTTTTCGATTTTATTTTTGCTTTAGAGCTATATTTGAGTTCTCAAAACGTTACCAGTAGATAGAGGGGCACTTGAAAACACATGTAGAGCAGAAAAAACAAAAAATGAAAAATTTGAAAATTTTGGGTCTGGAAAGGGGGGGAGGTGTCCCCTTAAGTGTTTCCACATTAACCCTTCTATTTCAATAAAAAGTTATGTACCTCAATGACGTACCCCATTGTAAAAAAAATGTACCCCAAGAGTACCCCATTTGAAATCTGGTACACCCCATTTGAAAATTAAGATATGGCAGCCCTGCTTTGATACTTCATAACTAATGATTGAAATAAGCTAGAGGTCTGAAATTTTTACTAGCACTAGACTTCATAAAGACATATATAGACTGGAAATTTTAGCCATATATTCTCTTCCTTTCGGACAGTAGGATCCTCACAAAAATGGAATTTTGACGAAAATTCCTATATTGTGTCGAGGCTATCTGCTAAAATATGCATTTCGTCTTGGAGCTAATTCTGCAATAATGGAAGAGATATTTATATCCTTTGATTCTACAAGAAAAATGGCCTGGCATCTCTGAGAGCAATCTAGAACAGGGGTTCTCTTTGGAAGCGTAAATGGGGTCATAAACGTGGGGAGAGTTTTAAGTCTAAAATTTCGATTTGGGATGAATGAGGGTATGGATGCGGTCTCCTCTTCACCTATGTCTACCCACCCACAGTCACATAGGTACCGTGATGTTTTCTACCTTAAATATATATTCAAACTTTTTAAATTTAGCCATCAAACTAGCCTTTTGTTTCAGAGAAAAACTTCGCTGAAAAACACGATTATTATCTAAACCAAATTTTTGAGAGAGTTTTACTGGCTGTAAGGAAGAGAATAAATGGCTAAAATTTTCAGTGTATAGACATGGATTCCTTAAGATATAGGTTAGATGAATCTTGATGGGTAGATTCAATTCAAGAACTGAATGCGTTAAAGTTCTTGAAGGAAACTGAAGTTGTAAGAAGCGCACATTTTTACAATTTTATCTTCATTAAAATTCCGATGCGTTCTTATGAGTTTTTTTTATTGTTGATCTTTTTGAAGTTCACAAAAAGCAAACTATCACGATGTCTCGCATCCTATTTTTTACTATTGTGTCATTCTAGATAAGAAGATGTTCGCACCAACTCCAGTTAAAAGATTTTTCCAAATGAACAAACCATTGATAGATCAAACCGATTCGGAATCTCGAGCTGGTTATTGTGGTCATAGATGGACTTTTCGTATTTTCTTGATAGTCACCGTTGGTATATTTATATTTAATATTGTTTCTTGTATTGGCTTTCACGATTTGACATCATCTTCTGTTGATGATCTTTATCTTCCTCAATCTCTTCGATGTCCGCACAAGAATAAGACTAGGCTTGAATATGGTCGTTTGCATCTAGCTCGCAGTCGCGTCATTATTTGTGGATTGATACGTGATCGTGAAGCACACATTTCTCGTATTCGACAGCAAATAGAAGAAATAACACAACTCTTTGATGATTATGCTATCGTTATTGTCGAGAACGATTCAAAAGATAGAACGCGACAACAATTAATCGCTTGGGCACAAGATAAGAAAGTTGCTGGTCGAATTCATGTTATCGGATGTAATAATCAAGTCAATGATGATCGTCCATGCAATTTATCATTGGCTCCGACTCCAACCAATCACCCGCCGACTATGTCACGCATCGAAAAAATGGTTCTACTGCGCAATATGTACATGCAATACATCGAAGATAATGCTCAACTAGCGCAATTTGAGTACGTCATTGTACAAGATTTCGATTTGCGCACGTATACGTATGTTGATGGACTCCTATCGACCGGTTTCCATTTCAGTAATGATCCAACTATCGATGCAATTTGTGGCAACGGCATTTTCAATGGTATAGTCGGTGGTCGTAAACAATATTTCGATCCATACGCACACAAGGATGAACAGAATAAAAATTGGAGTAAATGGTACAATGATGTTTGGTCGCCATTTTTTCGACATTATCGATGTAGTCCCAATCTAGTTTCTGTACGATCATGTTTCTCTGGTAGAACTATGTATCGATATAGAAGTATAGAAGGAAAACGTTATCGGACATATGCCGACTCATATCAACAGGCGATTTGCGAACATGTCGGACTCCATGAGACACTCAACAAAGTATATTTAAATAGTGAAATGATTTTTTACATAATAGAAAATATTCATTGATGATTGATATAGATCTAGCTTGAATGAAATTTAATATGTACAAATAGAATGAGCAGCAATTCGGTTTATGTTTTTTTCAAAAATAGGTACATTTGTGATACGATCTACCGTTTACTTCATCATCCAAGTGATTCAATCCTACATGTAGATCCTACCGGAAAAGATCGAATTCGATGTCGGATTATCCCGAAAACCGGCATTTGCTGTAGAAAAACCAGCCAGATCTGACCTGAGTTTCGATCGATCAATTCTGTCGACTTGTTTGTCTATCGAGATAAGATTTTTTTGTTGAATATGATCTCTTCTTTCTTCTGTTGTGTGTCTAACAGAGAATTAAGTTAAGAATCCTTGTCGATTGTGATCGAGCAAGCGAAATCATTGACATTTGAAAACCTTGCGATTACGATGAATTCTTAGGTGAGTCAATTCTAATCTCATCCCGTCTTGCTGTCATATTTCAAACTGTATAATAAAAGTTTTTTTGTAATTCAAATTCGAAAAATTAAATAAATAAGAAGAGAATTTCAATTTTATAGTTTGAAATAGATTATTAGATAATAAAATCTAATCGATATAATAGTGTTACACGATTGAAACAAAATTGAAGCAACGAATACATCATTCTGATAATCTCTTAAGAAACCTTGAAGTATACAATTATTACTTTTTCTTTACAGAGATTGCTTAATTTAAAAACTCAAACGTGTAAAAACAGATCGAAATATCTCACCTAAATAACACCATAAAGTTTCATATTTTTAGTAGTTATTATAGATTAGAATTTAAAAATAATAAAAAATTTGATTGAAGGCCTTAACATGCTTTTTTTTATTGATTCTTTCTGTCTTGACAGTAGTTATTTTTCTGACTGTTTTAGTTTATTTCTATCACATATTATTCATCACTGTTACTACTGGTTACAGACACAAACTGATAGAATAATAAGAAAAGCAATAACAAACTATAGACCTCTAAAGTTAGTTTTTGTTAGACACATCATGGTTTTTTTTCGATACTTTCTGACTTTGGCATTATTCTCTTTCGGCCTTTCTACATCATACTATCCCGAAACACAGATATTTTATAAGAATAGCTTTTTATCATGTTCAGTTAATGATACTCTAAATGAATATTATAAAACATTTCCCCTATTAATAAGAAAACGTCATGTAACTTAGAATCATTAAAAGATGAATAAAAATGATACGAGTAGTTGCAAATTACAGAGGATATTCAATTTCTATGGAATGTTGTTATGCAACTGATGCAGACGAAATTCGATAGGCATATGTAAGTATTCAATCATAAGAATGTTCATAGTGTTATGGTGAATTCTTTTTTTTTCTTTTTGATTGGTTATATCCTTGTCTATGCACTAGAAAGAAGAAGAATCGCAACAAATGGTACTAATTAAACCGAATGATTAAGGTGATTATATAAAATGTTCGATCATTCAATCGTCAATTATTTAGATAAGAATGCAAAACAAAAAAAAAAAAATAGATACAAAGAATAAAAAGAAAGATTGAATATTTTAACAATTTGTATTCACAATCGAAAAATGATCATGATCGTTTTCTTTCTTCTTCTTTTTGTTAGTCATACTCATACAGGTATTATTCAAGTATTTAATTCATCAAGTAATTTTATTTCTCATAATTTTTATTCTATAGAAAAAAAATTCTTTTATATATATGTATATATATAGATTTCAATGAAACTGAAATCAATGAATCACTTGTTATCAATAATAATGATAATGAAACAATATTAAATGATAATCAATCATCAATTCAAATAGTTGATAAAAATCAATTTGCTGAAACTGTTGTCGATCTTTTATTGGATCTTTTAGAAAAAGCAAATCTATCTCGTACTGTATCTATTATACATAATGATACAGAATTAACTGAACTTGTCGAACAAGATGATGTTGACTTACAAACAACGACTATCAAATTAACTGATCCATAGATATTTATTTCAAAATTAAAATTTAGTTTATTCTCGCCTATCTAATTATCAAATAATAATATTTGCTTTTGTTTGTTTTTTTTTTAATTGTGAAACATGATCTGAGAGAAAAGATCTCGTTCTTTTTTTCATTACAGATCTTTTTTGAACTTGTTTTTTATTCTTAATGAAAATAGTTTCATTTCTGTATATATTATATATTCAAAACTATTTACAAATATAATGAAGTAATTTGTTTATTGAATATTTGAGAAGAATACATATTACAAAAGACTTTTGTAGATAATATTAATAAATATAATTATTTAGTTTCATTTTATACTCTTCTGTTTTTGGTTTATTGGTAGAATAATGAGATTTTGTAATAATATAACAAGAAAAATTTAACAAAACATTAGAAGAATAAAGATAGTCCGATAGAACGTCGCCCGAATGTATAGTTCTTACGCTAAATCACTTGAGTTCCCACACATACTAAGTACATAGTAGCTACAAGAACAGGTGTATGTTACAAAGTAGTCAGTATGTTATCAGACGGCTGATCCGAGACAAATAACCGTTAGTGACTTGCCTAGAGTCATTTTATGATTAATGATACCAAGGTTATATGTCGAACAACTTTGCCACTCAGTCATGGTAGCAAACGAAAATAACACATTTATTGCTACAAAACTATAGATAGTAGATAAATTATCATTTTAAAAACAAAAATCAACTATGATTATTTTTCTATTCAATATCATTGCGTCTGAAATGATAAGACGGAAACTCTAAAACAACATAATATACAAATGCAAAATAAAGTATTAGACAATTTAAGCTATTTAAAAAAGCTCTTGTTGACTAACAGTAACGATGAAACACTTAAGTTGTTGAATAATATATTCTATTCAAATTGATATCATTATCATTCATGAGTAACAATTGAGACTTCAATATGATATAAATGCAAGATATATTAATCGTATCGAATAATAATAATCGATCTAAAAACAATGGTTTTTCTATGATAAGCATAGTACATCGAAACTAACCCTCCCACCTTCTAGAATAAAAGGTCATGACTTTCAATTATCAAAATTCACATTCCTCATCTAATAGGAACTTTCTATTTCGAGCTAATCTTTTTTGCCTAACATGTTTTTGAAAAATTCTTCTGATATTCAAACAGACGTTTTTACCAAATAAGTGCCGGAAACTCGACATTTTTACTATGAAAAATCTGCTAGATTTCCAAGAAAAGGCTATTGGAAAATCATAATCTTCTATGATACTTTATGCAATTTTTCTTATGGATGGTCTTTTATTCTGAGAGGGATAGAAGCTTACTGCTTTTGACGCATTCATTCATTCATTCATTCTATATAACACAGTGAACTTTTAATCTCATATTGAATTTAATTAAAAATTGAATTCAATTATATTCTCTATTTATTTTCAGAAAAAAGAAATCATTATTATATTTTGACTTTTTGTTTTTTTTTCTTTAAACTGATATTCAATGATTGTTATCAAACAAAATCATTTTTGCTTTTTTTTTGTATTAGTATTTTTCTTTCTCGACTATTGTGATAATGGCCTGATTTCTATGTATGAGAAAATATATCATCTGTCTTTCTTTCATCAAACATATACATACAGGTTGTATTATAAATTACATTCTGTGACTTATAATCGTTATTTTAAGACAATGCTTCGAACTACAATCGTTTGCTTAATTGCCTTAGCTTTGCAGGTAATTTATATTGTTTTTTTTGTCTCTTATTATATTTCTAATATTATTCATCTACTTTAGATATCTGCATTGCCTAAATATATTGAAAATCTTGAACGTGATTTAGCATCATTACCTGAAGAATATCAATATTTGGCTAAAGAAATCAATTCGAAGCGTGCAGCTGATAATGAAGGAAAGTAAATATTTATAATATTATCTTTTGTTTTTTTTTTCGTCTTTTAAATTATACTATATTCATTAGTACTGATGCATATTGTTGTAAGAATTGGCAACATATTAATAATGATGAAGTAGTTACTGGAGTTCAAACATCATTAGTACCACAAACACATACGGTTACAATTGGTTATAAAGATTGTCATGGAAATTTTAATCCAACTCGTATATATATATATATATATATATATATTATAAAAGAAAAAGAATTTTTTCTATTAAAGGTCCACAAATACCAATTCCAGATTCATCAAACCGTCCAACAAGAAATGGAACAACACCTTCAACTCCTTTAGAAACAACAACTCTATGTCTGTGGACAGCAGTTAATAAGACAGAAACTTAGTATATATATATATACATATTTAACAATAAATTAATACTATTTAATATTTTTTATAGTATGGCTACTCAATATACAACTGTAACATATCTTGTACCGAATTCACATACATATTGTGCTCCAGAAGATTATAAATGTTGTCCAAATTATGTTATGATGAATAATAATTGTGTTGGTAAGTAAATTTTAATATTATTTTTGTTTATTTTTGTTTGTAATATTTTTTATTAGATCAATCTGTCGTTGCAAATCTTGAATTTCTCATGCAACTTGGTTTAATTAGTGGTGTTGGAAAAAAATAAAGATGAAATAAAATAATTTGAAATAAAAATTATAATTCATTGAATAATTCGAAAAAAAAAAGAAGAACATAATAGTTTGTTATTAAGCTTGGTTTTGATAATTTCTGATAAATACAGAAAAATTTGTTTTTTTTTTCGAAATCAATTTTTTGAACAAAGTTTTTTTTTCCATGTAGTACATTCGATCGGACCTAAATATAATTTTTCGTCGAGACTTTGAAAAGGATTTCTTTAAATCAATCGTAAAAATTCATCACTTGTAAATATTTTTATTTTGAAATTCACATACAATAAAACAAAACAAAAATAACAAAATTATGATCGCCAGCGGTCAAATTTTATATAACAAAAAAAAAAAAAATCATAAAAATTTCTGTTTTCGTTGCCATTTATATACGTATTAAATTAACTATTGAAATATTAGATGTATAATAATTATTTATGATAAGAAAAACAATAACAAAAAGAACGTAATTCATATTTATCTTTTATACATGTTGATGTTTGACCATAAAGATTAATTCGAAGAATTTCACTATGTAATTGTATATGTTTTGTTATATTATTATAAAGTAGATTACTTTCAAATATTCCATTTGATGGTAATACTTCAAAAAGAATTGTATATAAACGAGTATAATTATTAATTTTTTTTATTTTATATAATTCTTCAACTTCAGCACGAATTATTCTTTTAAGTTTAAGTTTTATACATAGATGTTTATGATTTTTTAATTTAATATTATTTATATAATTAATACTAACTATTGTTAATTCTCGAATAAGTGGTAATGTTATATCAAGTGTTTTTGTATGTGAACATGGACAATATTTTTCTTGAATAGAAAAGAAAAATTTAAAAAAATCTTTTTTTTTTCTTTTTTTGTTACCTGGAATACCAGCTGATGAACAATTTCGTTCAGGAATAGGATGAAATAGAGATATACCTGATGTTGTTGAATGCCAATTGACAAGAAGAGGATCGAATATATGTGGTTCTTCAACCATTTTTAATATATTAGCAAACGTTTCATAAACATCCCACCATGATGTAAGCACTATTATGAGAATTTCATAGAATTTTTATTAGATTTTTCACATCCGAGTCGGGTACGGGTACTCGATTCATTACAAAGGATCGGATTAATTCTCTCAAAGTTTGTGGAAATTCTACAGGTGCACTCGGAAAAATAGATGTTCGCCCTACTGGAAGAGAAAATCTGAATATAAAACACTGAAATATCATTTATTTAAAGACTCCCTCTCAGAAAAAGCCATATGGATTTTATGATGAGATTTAAGGATATTACAAAGGTTTTTCTGAACCCTCATATAGGAAGAAAAACGTTGTTTTGCTTTTGAAAAATATTGGTTTTACGTTTCCGTGCATTCCAGATTTCTCCGTTATTTTAAACGTTAGACAGCACTCGGCTTGGTATCAAAATGAAGGCAGAAATTAGCTCTACAACTTAACAGAGTTGGATTTTTCCATTAATGTTTATAAAAAAAACTAATTATTATGGATCTATTCTACCCTCTAGGCTTTCTGTATTTCATTCGAGGAAATCGAATGATCGGTCCCTGTTAAATTGTAGAGCTAATTTTTGTCTTCATTTTGACACGAACTCAAACTTTCAAGCGCATTTGAAATGGTGAAGAAATTTGGAACGCACGGATACCTAAATTTTGATTCATATTCTATCTTCATCATGTTATTCGATAGTATAACGGATATAAACACAATTATAAAATGCAACAAAGTAAAAAAGAAAACCCTTTCCCTCATCCGAAGCAATAATGAATTCTCTTTCAAATAGAACCAATCCGAATTCCGCAGCTTGAATTATATTCTCATGTACCCTATCGAAGTTAGATTTTTGAAGAAGGAGACTTCCTTAATTATTTATATAGTGTTTAATTGTAATAAACAAAATCTTTGTACTATAATCCAAAGTAATATGAGTATTAGAGTATGTTGTTAAAATTTTTATATTCAATAAATTCTAATGAAAACTTTATTTCTCAATCAGATAAAACTTACTCTGTTGATTTTTTTCAATATTTTTTATAGCTTTTGGAAATTTTTCTTTAAATAATTGAGGTAATAATATTGAAAAAAATGGTAATTTAACTTCAAAACTTCCAATACGTGTTAATCTTAAACGATGTTGTCTATGACCATGATCACCACAAAATATAAATATTGTATTATTTAATAAATGTTTTTGATATAAATTTTGAAAAAATTTTTCTAAATCATTATCAATCCAAAAAAGTCTTTCTAAATAATCATGACTCATTTCATTTATTTTTAATATACCAAATGTTGGATAATTTATTGTTTGATGATAAACATTTAAAAATTGTTTAAGCCAATTTAATGATAAAAAATGTAATAATTTATCTAAATAACATGGTTTTGGATTTGAATTACCTGAAAATTTATTATATGATAATGTTTCATATAATGATAACCAATATGGACGTAAATAAAAATCAGTTGGTGATTGATAAAAACCATTTTTTAAATTATAAAAAGCACTTTCACGCCATTCTTCACTAAAAAATGTTGTATAATTTAATTTTGAAAAATTTTTTATTATAAATGAATAATTATCATATGGTCCTGGATAATGAATTATTTTTTTAATTTCAATAGATTTTTTTGTTTTTGGATCAATTTCAATTTCTGTTATTGGAAATTCATATCGACTATCATTTATATTTGGATTTTGTAAATCAATTGATGATTGACCAAATAACATTGGAACAATATTATCAAATGTACCATCACCAACAATAGCATGACGTTCAAATATATATAAACCAAGAGATTTTAAATAAGATAATGTTCGTGGTAATGCACGTTGTGCTTGAAGATTACTAACAGCATCAAGTATAATCATAATTACAGATGGTGGAGAATTATTTGTTGAAAAATTATTAGAAGAATTTTTTTCTAACCATATTTTAGAAGAAAATGCTGGTTTTTTTAAACGAATTAATGGATGTACATATTCATAGACAAGACTATTATTTATAATTATAGATAATAATTGTTTATCAGTTTGATTTATGTTACTATCATTTAAACAATTACAACCACTAAATAATAAAAAAAATGAATTTTACGTTTTTTTGTTTTTAGAAAAAAAAGAACGATAATTAAGATAATTTCTTCATTGACATTCAATGCCTTTTGACAATCTTTATCTTCTATATAGGATCAATAATTTTTCTTAATTAAAAAAGAAAGACACTTCTCAGTGTGGGCCGATGTGTGAAACTCACGTACTCTAATCCATTATAAATTGATGGTATATCGTCAGAGAGATTAAAATAATTTATTTAATAAAATGGATATACACGCTCTAAAATTTTATCGTTTCGAATTACTATTCTATCAATTTATTAGATTCATTTAACATTGTTATACTGAATAAAAAAAAACTTATTTGGATTGTCAGATACATCTTTTTTCTTCTAATGATAATATCTATGATATATGTTATAGGAAACAGCAAAATTCAATTTGTTCATACTTATCTAACTCTGCTAGATTAATAATACTACCTAAGATAAGATCATTTTGCTATATTAAATATGATATTCAGACTAGTTAGAATCTATAGTAGAAATCTAAGATTTATAGAATGCTTTGAAAAATTCTAGAGACTTTCTAGAATGATTTAAGCACTGTTATTACAGATGCATCTTTTCCCATTGGTATAGAAATATACTGAATGATCTTTGGCTACGTCCGATTGCTAGAACGTGACTACCTTTAGTCGTGGTCACTGGAATAAAAAGTTATCCCGACCGAAACTAAAGATTATAGTTATAAGCGAATGTGTAGCTATAAAAATCGCTTTATGATCAAAGCATCTTGTATACACTGTGTGCCTTGTCGGGTAGTATTTATGCATGTTATGATTCTTTACATTTAACAGATTTGATTCATTAAATTTCATCTATTAGACTTTGACGTCTTAGTTTGAGTCATTGGAAAGAAAGTATCATATATCAATTTTATCAGAGGATATATTGATGAAAGAATAAGTATACTTGTCACTATATTATCAGTTGAAGAAGTAAAAATATTTCGATAGAAAAATAATATAATAACTTTTATTCCTCTTATATAATATTGTATCCTGTTTTGGTAATACATTCATTTTTCCTTTTCTAGATTAATTACATATTTTCTTTTTTTAAGATATTTCTATTTATTATCTGCACAATAAAATCTATTAGTTTACAAATCATTTAATAGAGCTATGAGGAAAAATAAAAATAAAAATTCGAATGTATAATAGTAAATTTTACTGTGATAATAGTTAGATGACACTCGAATTTCTCTTGAACTACAAAATGCACTCCAAAAGAACAATTCAAGGATCACAAACAGTCGTGTCTGTAATAGATTTTGATATTTTCTTTTTAAATATTTTATATTTAATCTTCTATTGAGATGAATTCTCTTCTTCTATTTAAATAATAAGAAAAATTAATTCAACCATGAAAGTTTCTCAAGAAATTGCACTAATAGCTTCTTTAAAAAAGATACTTGCTCGAAAACTTAAAAAGATATATGTCTAAGTCACTCATATTTTATGCTCAATTTGATTTTTATTGTTAGGATTTTACTCGGAAGATTACTTTTGATACAAATTAGTTTTAAACACAAGCCTTAAATCAAGTAAAAAGAAGATATTTTGTTTAGATCAATACGTAGAATCCAACTTTTTAGAAAGTTAGATTTTTTTTTGTTTTTTTGTTTGAGAGAAAAGTCGATTGCGCTAGTAGTGAAAGAGAATCAATCACGTATTTATATGTGTTTTGTAGAACAGAGAAGAGTGCATGTAGTCAAAGTATTCAATATAAAAAAAAAACAAAAGTCATTCATCGCAATAATTAAATATGCATGAATCTTTAATGCATAAGCCAATGGGTCATATTATCTTCTTATTAATGGAGAAAAAAAAAACATGATCTCTCATATTGCATATATAAAAAATAATTTCGAGGACATGACAGATTTTTCTATCTTCATATTTATAACTTTTTTTTTTCTTTTTCTTCGATTAAAATTCTATGACTATTTGAGATAATGTTTTTGTTTTCTTAATTAATAAACTTACCAAAAATTATCTCCATTAAAAAATCCTGTTCGATTATTATAACAACGTGTTAGAACAAAATCAACATCTAAAATTGGTTTTGTACTTCCATTAATAATTAATATTGGTTGAGATAATGTATAAGACCAATCACGAAAATATTTTTCATCGGGATTTCTATCAATTTTTAAATAAACACAATGTGTTATTGAATTTAAATAATCTGTTCGATTGATTGTTTGATTTATAAATAATTGCGTATAATTAATAACATTTATTAAATTTTGTTTATTTGTTGGACAATGATATTTTGGTTCGATATGTATAGATTTTGCAATTGTTTGATCCCATGGATCAAAACGTGGTATATAACAAATAGATGATAATTGTTCATTTGTTTCAATTGTTTTATATGAAATTAATGTTCTAATAGATGAAGGTGTTATAAGTATAAGACGATGATAAATAATAAGAAAAAAAATTATATTAAGACTAAATAATAAATAAAATAATTGAAAACATGATTTTGAACGAGTTGGTATAATTGAAGTTTGATATTCATATAAATATAATTGATGATATAATTTCATTGATGATTCTAACATAATAAATTAAAACAAAAAGAAAGAAATATTTTCATTTTCTCTTTCTCTCTCTCTCTTTTTTACACATGAAAAAAAAATCAATTAACAGTATTTAATATAAAATATAACTCTGAATGACATTCTACTGTTTTGATATGGTTCGAAGAACACATTTATATTATCAATAGCTTTTGTCAGCATATATTTAAATATAACAAGAGAAATGAAAGAAGATTTTTTTTTTTTCCCTTGACGAATACCGATGATGTTGCCGTAATTTTTTATTATTATATTACAAGAAATAACGAAGAACATAGGAAGAAAGAAATGCATCGAGAGATAGAAAGAGACAAAGAGGTTTTTTTTTATTTATTTATCGGTAAAGTTTCCTTTGATTGTTTTTCTTTGTTCAATAATATAAATCGACTTAAAATGACAATAAAAAATGAGTTAAGAAGAAATGTCTATATATATATATATATATGTTATATTATGTTTATCTTTAGAATAGGAGAAAAAAAAATTCTCATATAATTGATGATAAATGTTTTTCTTTAATTTATTAGTCATTTAAAAATAATACAATATGTAAATTTATATAAACAAATTATTTTTGTTACTATTGTAAATCATAAAAATTTATCTCTTACCTTTTTGTTTTTTTTTGATAATCGACTATTTTATAGTTACAATAGTTGATTATATAAGTATTTATTCTATACTATTCTTAACTTAGACGACATTTATTTCACTTTTTCTTTTGTAATCAAATGTATACTATACTATACTATTACAGTAAGTAGATACTTTTACAATAATGAGCGAATAGGATGGATTATAACGAGTCTTTTTGTTTTGTTTTCTTTTTTTCGTCGCTTGTCGTTTATTATCGATGATACCCCAAAGATGTTCTCGTGTAACCGGATGTACAAAAGATAATACACAAGCGTATATGTGCATGTCTATTAGTTCATATATTTAAATATATATATATATATATATAATAAAGTAACGCTATTGGGATTAGCACGTTCTATAACATATCCTAAGAAAAATCATCTTAATAGAATTGTTGTTATTCTATTGAAAAATAATTATAGTAGACAGTAAAAACAATTCTATGATTACTTTTTATGACACATTTCTGATAAAAAAAAAAACGAAAATTTCATTATTAACAAATAACAATAATATATATAACTAACAAAAAATTAAAAAGAACATACTGAAGAGCGTATGTGTTCAAAAGAAGAAAAAAAACAGATGAAGTTTGAAGGAGGTTTTTGTCGAATTGAATTAATTGTAACTGAAAGGAAGGATATTTATATTCTTTTTCTTTTTGCGCAGGTCTGACTTTGATTATTAACAGAAGACAATTCTGAGGACATTTTCTTTTTTTTCTTTTGGGAATATAAAAATGTTTTATTCCTTTCACATATATAATTAACAATTTCCTTCGTTTTTTTTTGTTCATATCTAATTTCTTGTAAAAAAAAAATTCTTCGGAGTAAACAAATTGAGTGTAATATGATCCTGAGTTTCATAGAAAAAATTAAACGATTTATATGTATTTGTACGAAGAAGATATTTAAATAAAATATATGATTTTGTTGAAGAGAACAAAAAATACAAAAGAATCTTTTTTTCATTAAGAACAACTACTACCATACTTAAAAAATCATGACAAAAATATATTGGAAAGAAGAAGAATGATTAAACAATAAGTCGACTGATTAGTTGTGATGTTATAAAAATAGAAGGCTATGCTTATTTATATTGAAATCTTTGTAAAACATGAACATAAAGTCTAATTTACTTCGAGTACATTTTTCTTTTTGAATAAAATTTTATTTCTTTTTCGTTCTGTGCGGAAATAACTTTTCCTTTCTATAAATATATAAAATAATAAATGTTTTCATATGTTATTTTTCTTTAAGAATAATACCCTATTGAATAGATCAAGATAGGTTATTATTATGCAAAGTATATGTAAGCCTGAAGATATTGACATTAGAATCTTACGGGGACTAGCTTTTCTCACTTGTCGGATTATGTTCTCAGCAAATTTTTGGAAATTCTATTTCTATTTCTTTTTTCTTTTACGTTTTAAGGAAAAAAAAAATATCAATATTATAGAATAATCTTTTGTAACATAATGATCTATATAAAATGATACGATTCGAAATTTAAAAAAAAAAGAAATAAAATTATGATGGGAAGCATAGATGACTAATACATTGCATATCATTCGATACTGATTCTAAAATACGAAGTTAATGTTCAATAAAAGTATTTCTATGTCGAAAAAAAAAAAAAGAATTTTATCTAGAAAAATTTTAATTCAGCCTTAGAATGTTTGTACTTTTGAAATTCTAAGAAAATAAAAGCGGAAGTTTTTTTTATTCTGAATCAATTGAGTGCAAGACACCATTGCAGATTAATTCATGGGCGTGGTTAGTTATTATCGCCTAGCAAATCAAGATGTACAGCTAATTTATCATACTGTATACTTACGAATAGAATGCTTACTCAAGTTCAGAATCCCTCTGTAAATATCACCCGAAAATAACATAAGTTTTGAGATGTCAATTAATATTTTCAATAGTCACTCTTGCACTATTAATGTCATGATTGAAGTTTTTGTCTTCAGCTGTTAATTCACTTCAATGAAATTTCTTTCTTGGGATGATCATATATTCTCTATCAGCAATAATTTGGATAACTTTTTCTGTATCAATTCTCTAAGAATTGTAATATCATGAACACTACTATAATAATATTCAGATATGCATGTACTATTTGATAAGAAAAGTTACAAGTAGATTGTATTTTAAATGCATAATTTAATGAAATCAAGAAACAAAAAAAACATTGTAATTAGAACAAGGATGATGAAACTGAAACTCAATATATACTGAGAACAAGATGTGAACTACTTTAACGTAATGATTATAAGGAAACACTTAACAACTCTCGTTTCGAGTGATACATAAATTTCAAACGGTAATAGATCATTAGTATTTATATATCTACTACAATTAGTAAAAAAATATTACATTTTTTCGACAACTGCCTAAAGCTATATAAACAAATAAATCTTGGAGTATTAGGTCGACTGCCTACGCTCATATAATTTTCTTATTGTTTTATTTGTTCACAGTAAATAAAAAAGGCTCTTAAACCTTACTAGTAATATTTTTCGACGAGATTTTTATTTATGTTTTCTGACTAATTCTAACAAGAGAACTAAAGACTTCTGTTTCATTAAATAACCCATATTTCAGAACAGTATTTTTATTCAGAATTCTTCTTCCGGAAGAGCAAACACTTATTTTTTTTTTTTTGAGTATAGACATATAGTAAATGGAAGAATAAACACAAACGCAGAATAGGCCAACTCAATCTTCGGAAGGACGTCGTCTTCTCTTGGCCCTCACACTAGATAAAAAATATTGTGTTTAAGAATATGTTGTCTTATTTAAATCGTTAAAATATATATTTTCATTCATCATTCTATCGTTTGTTACCTAGGATTATATCTTCAGCAAAAACATTAAAGATTTGAGTTTATTGAATGCTACGGAAAGAAAAAATATCTTTAATCTAAATACAAAATCCAATCACAAAAAAAAAAAAAATTTTGTTTTTTGAAATATTAATATATATATATATTCTCATTTTTGTTCTCAATGAGAATGTGATAAGAAAATAATTCTCTCTTTTTTGTTCCATAGAGCAATAATTATCACATAAATAATGCCAAGAAAAAAAAAAAAAACTTTTATTATAATATATATTTTTTTAAATTCATTGTTTTGTTTTTATTCAATACATTTCCATCATTTCATATGGTGAATATTTTCAAATAAGCAAACTAAATAATTTTTTTTTTTCTCGTAGTATTTTACAGTATATCTATGACACTCTAAGATTTATAATGTGATGCTTTTTTTTCCAAGTCGAAAATGCATGCCAGCACGTTTACCAAATCGATAAGGCATAGCAGCTCGTTTACCAAATCGATATGGTATTGCCCAAACACGAGCATCAACACCATTAACATTTGAAATACCACCACGAATAACTTTGTTTGCATAACGTCTGTTAAATAATTGTGGCCAAATATTTTTATAATGAAATGATTCAGGATAATCATTTTCTTCATTGCTTAGATTCTCATCATCTGTCAAAGGAAAAGATTTTGAAGCTGATTGTAAATCGTCAAGAGTAAAATGATGATTTGGAAAAATAGCAGTTGGATTTTGCTAGAAATTAATAGATAATAAAAATAAAAACAAAAAAAAAGAATTATTTTTAAAAAAGAAAAAGATTTATATTTAACCTCATCATCAGAGGATTGTGATAATTCTGTTATCATGGCTGTTGATGGTGGTATATTAGTTGCCGTTATAAATGTTGTCATGAGAAGAATAACGATCGATAATTGAAAAATGACAAAATTTGAAAGTATCATCATGATTATTTTGTCTTTGAATATATATATATAAGAGAGAGGAGAAAAAAAAAATTATATATGTATGGTAGATGAAATATGAAAATGTGAGAGAGAGAGAGATAGAGAGAATATATCAATAGCTAAAACAACAAAATATGAAAAATTAAGAGTGTTATTAGTCAAATTAAGTCAGAAAATAATTGAAGATAATGAGAAAGCAAAAAAAGAATTCAAATATCTTCACTCTTCTTATGTTCTAATTCGAATAAATTTAATCTAAAAACAAGTTCTTGTTCAATAGCGAATTTTAATGTACATATTCATTTCCTCGTAGCCCTTATAGCTCAGTGGTAGAGCGCCAGTCTTGTAAACTGGAGGTCCGTAGTTCAATCCTGCGTGGGGGCATTTCTCTTTTTTTATTTTTTTAGTTTTAAATTTCATTCTTTTGTATTCTATCCTTCTTTAGTTACCATTCCTATTCAGATCATTTTAAACATGTATATATATCACAGCTGACGCCAACACAATAAAAGAAATACAGAATAATAATACATGCTAGTATACTTACTTACATTTTAGATTCTAGAAAAAAAAAAAAATTTATTGTCTACACAAACCAAGAGAATATTCTATGTTTTAACTATATTCTGGTTTTTAAAAACGAAGAAACTTAATGGTATGAATAAATGCTTTTATTTTCTAATAAATACTTTATTAAATTTATTTTTTTCGTATGAAAGGAAAGCATCTGGGATATCTATATCTTACTATCTTCTCAATTATAGTCAATAAATTTATTCTTTTTTTTTTTTCTTATCTGACCTTTTTGTCTTTTTGCCCTATCTTTCTCATTTCTCTAGTATTCATTCGTCGTCATATAAGATTTCAACAACACTCTTTTATTGATTCAATCCAATTTTAGATACACTCAAATTCTCATAACGATTTTCCAAAGAAGCATAGCCTGATTGATCCTTCTATATATTATAACATGATAAGATGTCGAATGTAGATCTAAATAGCCTAAAGGATCATAATATCTTTCTATTTTACTAAATATAATGTATACTCGTAGGTCAAAATAAAATATCTCTTAGCTATATAAGAACATTTATATTAATCTTAACAAAAAATATCTTGACATAAAAAATTTTTGTGTCTTAATCTACAAATAACATATATCAATCTTAGAGTAATAATACCGATGAAAGTTATAGTTCGAATGATATATAATGTGTTCACGGAAGGAATAAGGAGGTTCCTGTTTTCTTTTTTTTTTTCTGTCAATCTATAAGAGAATAGACTGATTGAGGCAGAAATAATTCTCAATGAATCTTTCGTCTTCTTTTTCTTTTGTAAGATAATAATAACTTGAATTTCTAACGACATGGATAATACAAAAAAAAGAGAGAGAGAGAGAGAAAGTGGAAGAGAAGAAGAAGAGAAAAAAAATGAATTGTTTCTTTCGATAATTATTCAACGAAAATGAAAGTTGACTTTCCGGAACAATAGAAATAATGATACAAATATTTGTTGAGTGTTCATCTATCTCATTATATTTGTTAATTGCAAATATTATATGATAGATAAGTTTAGATTTTTCTAGTGATAAACAATGGAAAAGAAAGAGAGAGATTGATAATTGAACCAAAAGTTAACTCAAGAATGTTGTTGTTGTTGTTTTTAAATAACTTAAAGGATTATTTTATTTTAAATAATAAATACAAAAGAAACTCGAATATGAATAAGATTTTATATATTACAATTATTTGATATAAAAAAAAAGATAATATTATTTTAGTCTTATTTTCATTTCAAATAATAGAATGAATTCATTTCTTTAATAATTATTTATATCGAGTATATAAAAATTTCCTCGTGTAGAATAATTTTGTACAATGAACTAATTTTTTTTCTCTATATATAGATAAAAATATCGTGACTAGATTATTCCATACTATTGATCTAAGTATAAGATTTGTTCTTTATTCAATATATTAACAAGCAATATAAATATTTACTTATTTATTTTTAGCAATTTTTATTTCATTATTTTATACTTTATATCTTGTAAATATTTTGAAATGATTTTTTTCTAAATGAAATATAATAGTATTGCGAAACTTTTTCTTTTCAACACGGAATATAACTGATTTTGAAAAATATGCAAAATATGTTTAGAAAGTGATAAAGAAATATTTGGATGATATATAGTATGCAGTAATACATGAAATGGAAACAATTAAAAGGCTGAATGATTTTATTTTATTTAGAAGCAATATTTTTGGAAGAAAATTAATTAATAAAACAAAATCTAACGAGCAATTTTTCAAATTTTGAAACAAATAGTGTTGATGAAAATTTAAACAACAATTCTTATATCATATTTGTACGTTCTTTTTACTTCTAAATCATCAACCAAATATTATACTAGGTAATAGTGACATACTCTATATGGTTTGTTTTTATCATACGCACATTACCTTTGTTTTTTCTTTACTGCACTCTTTCACACATGCAGACATCTATACAGTGAATATTAAGATTTGTTTTCTTCTATCTCACAAGTTAAAATGACGTCCGCCCTCAACGTAGCGCCCCATCACGGTAATCTTTTTTTTAATTATTCAAAATTTGTTATATATTCGTGAGTATTCTTTTTTTTTTTTGTAATAATCAATTATAGAAAGAGTATCATTATTATCGCCTTCAAGTGGTTATGAAAATTATCGAGGTTTTCTTAATCTTATTTATGTTATATTGGGAATTGGTGGGTGTCGTCTCGTGATAGAAAATATTCTTCAATATGGATTATTAATTGATTTTAATTGGCCTATAAAATTTCTAAAAGATCCAACACATTGGCCATCGGTTAATTATTTTTGAATTGTATTTTGAAATTTTTATATTTATTTTAAAATTTTTTTATTTAGGTATTTCTTATTGTATTAGTTAATTTTTTTATTCTATTTGAATTTTGGCTTGAATTAAGACTTAGTAAAATTCATATATTAAAATCAAGAATAACAACTACATGTATATTTTTACAATTTATTAATTTAATTGTAATACTTATTTTTCCAGCAATATATATTTATTATCGTCAACCAAATCCAGTTGGTGCATTTTTTGCTATTTTTATTTATACAATAGTTTTGTTAAAACTTTTTTCTTATTTACATATTAATTATCAATGTCGACAAGCTTTATTTCAAAGAAAAAATGGTTAAATATATTCTTTTTTTTTTTTTTTTTTGTTAATTTTGATAAGTGTAAATTTAATTTTTCTTAGATTCACGTAGAAATTCGAATGCATCAAAAGGTCGAATAGTATATCCGGGTAATTTAACGTATAAAAATTTATATTATTTTATGTTTGCACCAACACTTTGTTATGAATTAAATTTTACACATTCATTACGTATACGTAAAGGATTTATTTTACGACGTTGTATGGAAATTCTTGTACTTGCATCATTACAATATTGTCTTGGACAACAATGGATATTACCTATTTTACGTACAATTGATCGACCACTTAATCAATATTCAACATTAGAAAATATTGAACGTTTATTACGTCTTGCATTACCTAATCATCTTTTATGGTTAATTTTTTTTTATGTTTATTTTCATTCAATATTAAATTTATTAGCTGAATTATTATATTTTGGTGATCGATATTTTTATCGTGATTGGTGGAATGCAACGGATTTAAGTGAATTTTGGAATCGATGGAATACAATTGTACATCATTTTTGTAAACGACATATTTATAAACCATTAGTTATTCATTATGGTTTTAATAAATTTATTGGTTCATTAGTTGTATTTTTAATAAGTGCATTTTTTCATGAAGTAATTTTGTTTTTTTCTTTTCTTTTTATCATAAAATATTTTTGTTTTTTCTTTCTTATTTATAGTATTTAATTAGTGTACCATTACGTATGTTACGCCCATGGAGTTTTCTTGCTATGATAGTACAAGTACCAATAGGTATAGTTGTTAAACGAATAAGTTTAGAAAATAAAACATATGGAAATTTAGCTGTATGGATATCACTTATACTTATACAACCAATTGCTATTCTTCTTTATATACAAGATTTATTTTATCGAGATTTTGTCAAAGATAAAATTTATACTTAACTTTATATAATCCAAAAAAAAAACAAAACCATTCATATGAAAATTTTTGACATAATATGTAGTGTTGATTGCTTTTTTTTTGATGCCATCAAGATTTGTCAAACGAAAAAAATACTAATTAGAATATGCATTTCTATTATTTCTTTCTTATTGTCTTTACCGATATAATTTTCCGTTCGAATTCACAGACATATTAAGTTCTACTATTCATTCGATGCATTAGAAAAAAAAAAGAGGCATATACAAACGAAACAAATAATTCATCATATTGCATGGTAATCAATATAGTGCGATTTTTACTAATGTCTTTGTGGATGTGATTTTTTGTTGTATTGTCTGTAAAAAAAAATAGATACTAATCAATTAAATAACACGAAAGCTGAAAGAAAAAAAAATATAACACGAGATGAAATAGATCAATCAATTATTTGTTTACTTGAAAGAATTCAATCGATCAAATCTGTTTAATTTCTTGTTTTGGTTCTATTTTTATTCAAATCTATTTCACAGTTGTTTTCACAATATCATAGAACAAAAACATATACGAATACATGAAAAACAAAAAACAAAAACCAAAATCAGGCGCACGTTATACATCTATAATTGAGTGAACATCACTCATAGTTGATTTGTTTTCTTGTTGAGATATAAAACATAAATGACGCATATATAATATATATATGTATATCGACGATAACAAAACAAAAAATATATATCATTGGTAGCAAGATCCATTTTGAAAGACATGCAATAGAAAAAACAAATTTGTATAAAGAAAATCAAAATAAGAATGAAAGAATTTAGCCTTAATATATTCAA